AAAAAATTGTCTCAGATCGACCCGGAAAAAATTTTTTCTTATAGAATGTGGCCTGTAGAATCCATCATTTCAAACAGTTCCAAGATTGGGCTACTAGTTCAAAAGTTACAGCCCTTTGAATTTTTTTTCGAAATTGGTTTCTAGTCTATAACTTTTAATTGAGAAGTCTGATCGAAAAAGTACGAATTGATTTGGATTCTACGCACCAAAATTAATAAGAAAAAGTGTTTTCCCGAGAAATTTTGGTGCAGTCGATTTTTGGAAAAAAGGAAGGTTTATACCTCCCTTTTTTTGCCACAAAAAAAAACTTGTCTCAGATCGACCCGGAAAAAAATTTTTCTTATAGAACGTGGCCTGTAGATTCCATAATTTCAAACAGTTCCAAGATTGGGCTACTAGTTCAAAAGTTACAGCCTTTTGAATTTTCTTTCGAAATTAGTTTCTATAACTTTTGATTGAGAAGTCTGATCGAAAAAGTACGAATTGTTTTGGATTCTACGCACCAAAATTAATAAGAAAAAGTGTTTTCCCGAGAAATTTTGGTGCAGTCGATTTTTGGAAAAAAAGAAGGTTATAATACACTGCCTTTTTTTGCCCCGACAAAAAAAATTGTCTCAGATCGACCCAGACAAAAATTTTTCTTATAGAACGTGGCCTGTAGAATCCATCATTTCAAACAGTTCCAAGACTGGGCTACTAGTTCAAAAGTTACAGCCCTTTGAATTTTCTTTCGAAATTGGTTTCTAGTCTATAACTTTTGATTGAGAAGTCTGATCGAAAAAGTACGAATTGTTTTGGATTCTACGCACCAAAATTAATAAGAAAAAGTCTTTTCCCGAGAAATTTTGGTGCAGTCGTTTTTTGGAAAAAAGGAAGGTATACCTCCTTTTTTTTGCCACAAAAAAAAACTTGTCTCAGATCGTCCCGGAAACAAATTTTTCTTATAGAACGTGGCCTGTAGAATCCATAATTTCAAACAGTTCCAAGACTGGGCTAATAGTTCAAAAGTTACAGCCCTTTGAATTTTCTTTCGAAATTGGTTTCTTGTCTATAACTTTTGATTGAGAAGTCTGATCGAAAAAGTACGAATTGTTTTGGATTCTACGCACCAAAATTAATAAGAAAAAGTGTTTTCCCGAGAAATTTTGGTGCAGTCGATTTTTGGGAAAAAGGAAGGTTATACAGGGTGGCCAAATAAGAATGCGAGGTACTGTATCTGGGAACCTGTTGCGGTAAAAAAATTTATTACTAAAACGGCCACGAGAAAAACCTGGAAAATATTTTTAAGGTTTTGCAATGGCCGCTAGGGGGCGTAACTGCAATCTGGAATCTAAAAAAGTGATTTTTCTGTGAATTCCGCTATATTAACCTAACAAAAAAATTTTTGTTTGACAATTTTTCCTGTATCTCTAAAAATGAAGTGGTGGGGGGTATTCAAAGGTTTCCGTAAAAAACACCCTGTATCTTCGAAACGACTGAGCCGATTTTAACAAACTCGGTTTAATTGAAATGAGTTATTCTTCGGCTACAAATGTTATAATATTTGAAGTTTTGTTAGGTTCACATATCGCCGCTTGAGGGCTTTTTTCGACATTCCGACAGAAATGGTTAATTTTCTCAACAAAATTAAATGCGTTGGTTTGATTTTTTTTCATGAAAAAGTAGCTAAATGATGCCTAAACAATCTCCCGAAAACCGCATCTCGATATCCAATTCACGACCACGACCAATTGGTTGTCGTATGTAAAAGTTATGCACGTTTTACTTTCAAAAACATCTCAGGAAATATTTCGGGGGGTGGGGGGGGGGGGGCGGGGGCTCCTTTTAGGCAGCGAAATTTGATGGCTGTCTGTCATACCTTCAAGGTATAGGCTACCTACTGCAAAAAATTCCAGGACTCTAGGATCATTCCCCTAGAAGTAGTTCAAAACGGTAGAAGTGGGTCCGTACGGGCGGACAAAACGCAAACAATAGCACATTCTTTTAATTCTTAAAAAATTCGCTAAAAAATGCATAGGGTTACCTACCTACTTACGATTATATTGGCTGATGCGATCTGTTGGAATATTTTTCAGATTTAGAGTGACCAGGGACGAAATTTTAAGTCGGCACTATTCCAAAGCCTGCATTACAGGGCGTTCGCAAGACCAGAACCACTGCTTTACACAACCAAACGGAATGGTAAAATGTATGAGTGGGACAATCGGGAAGTACTTGTCAAAAGTTGTGTCCGGCCGTCAGCGTGATTGGGATCAATATCTTCTATCTTGTTCCTGATGGCGAAGCGTTCTGCTGTGAGGAAACTACCGGACAGACCCAGCCAAGCTTCCGTGATATTTAATAGGAAAATCCGGTTCCCGTGTGATTTAAAATTTGGTAAAAAAACTGGCCAGGAAGAAACTGTGGGGAACCCTGCGACGGGAAGTGGTATAATAGAGAACCGGGGTGGAAATATTGGTTTGTTGTTTTAATCCCAGAGGATTCGTAAGACGATAGATTGTTTTGGCTTCAAGAATGCAAGATGCACGAGGGGATCTTCATGCAAGTACCGCCACCAAGTGCGTGCTATAGATCCGTGTTGCGAGAAGCAACGGTTTTAAAGAGAGGGGCAGTGTAGCGAACATTCCAGAAGTTTCCGCAGAGATCGAGGCGCTATGAAAGATTAGTCATCGGCGATAAAGATCGAAGGCGGAGGTGACGTAATTTTGCCGTGTTTGTTCGAGAACGTTCTAGAATAGTCGGAAGCGCTCGAGATCTTTCGAGAATAAGGCGACGTTTGCTATGTAAGCAAACGAATTGCGTTTCAGTTCAGTTGTGAGAACTGTAATTTTTTTGGTAGTTTAAATATTTTTGTTTTCCTGTTTCATTCTGTGTTTGGGATCTACAAGGCATCTCTTTAGTGCATATAAAAGTATAGCCTTTTTCCATATTTAAAAAATTAAAATTAATAACGATACGTCTATTGCGAGAATTGTAATTTTTGCGGTACTTCAAATGTTTTTGTTTCCTTGGAGGCACTGGAACGACTTGAACTATAAAAGTAAAGTAAAAACACCAATAAACCATAATAATATAAAATATAATAA